TTTATGCAGCACAGACTACTTTGTTTCTGCTAAAAGTGGCTACAAAGTGTGCCACCTTCAACTTGAACATCTGAGATCACAATAACCCCCTGTTTTAAGTTAAACTGAACTCTTCATCTGGCAAGTTGTGGATTGAATGATACAGTGGGTGAGATTCAGGCATTTCTCACAAAGTAACTGAAACTGCCTTTCTCTTTACGTAACTGAGATTCATTTTAAGGCAGTGGTTCTCAGCCTTTCTAATGCCGTGACCCTTTAATACAATTCCTCATGTTGTGGTGACCCCCAACCATAAAAATATTTTTATTGCTACTTCATAACTAATTTTGCTACAAATAATAATGTAAATATGTGATATGCAGGATGTATATAGGTGACTCCTGTGAAAGGGTCATTAGACCCCCAAGGGGGTCGTGACCCACAGGTTCAGAACCAGTGTTTTAAAGTTATTGTTTTGGGGGGTACAAAAATCCTCAGCATAATTTTGCTTTTAAAAATTGATGTTTCCTTTGCCTAATACCAGCAGGATTAAGTTTATTGTTCCTTATTTTTATAGGTGACTTAGATTCTACCACATCTGCTGCTATACCACCACCTCCTCCACCCCCACCCCCACCCCCCCCACCTCTTCCTGCACCAGGGCTCCACCAAAGTGTATCTGCTATTGATCTGATAAAAGAGCGAAGACAGAGAAAAGCCAATGCTGGAAAGACTTTGGTGAAGAATAATCCAAAGAAACCTGACATGCCAAATATGCTAGAGATCCTTAAAGATATGAATAGTGTAAAACTTCGGTCAGTGAAGAGGTGAGGATTTATTTACCTTCTTTCTTACTTCCCTATTTGTTTGTCTTGTAAAACAAAGTACCAGATTTCTTGAGCAATTTTGTTTTATAGCATGACTACTATGATTAGTTTTTAGTTTAATAGAAATGAGCCCCAGTAGCTCTTATACACAGAGCTAAGAATTAGCAAAATAAACTGTTACAGTCCAGGTGATGTTTTTAGTTTGCCTATTTATTCACTTGTTTATGTATATGCACATATCTATTTAGAGATGGGGTCTCACATTGTTGCCCAGGCTGTAGGGCATAAGCATAGCTCACTGTAGCCTCAAAGTCCTGGGTTTAAGTGACATTACCATCTTAGCCTCCTGAGTGGGACTACAGAAGTGTGCCATTGCCTGGATAATTTTTTTGTGTGGGGGGTAGTAGAGATTGGTCTGTGTTGCCCAGGCTGGCCTTAGACTGCTGGCCTCAAGCAGTTCCCCCACCTCAGCCTCCCAAAGTGTTGGAATTACAGGAGTGAGCCATCTCTCTTGGCCCTGTTTCATTTAAATATCAGCCCTTTCATGTAGTCTTCACTGTGATTACTCATTTATTCATTTATTTAATAAAGATATGGTGTGTCGTCCCCCCGCCCCCCAGCATGGAGAATGGATCCTTAATTGCTGAAGGGAGTGCATAGTTGCTATCCTGAGATGTGTTAATGGTTCTTTGTTGCACTTTTGTGTGCTCTTTAATTGAGCCTTAAATCCAGACTGACTTTGACTGTTAGCAGCATTTACCAGTGTCTTTACGGAGCAATTGGGATGCTGATAGAGAAGTTCAGTTGGGGAAAGGCTAACAAAGTACTTCTGTAGGAGACCAGCATATTGATCTCTTCACTTGGTTTCTGTTCACTTCTGTAAGGTCAGAGCAAGATGTAAAGCCCAAGCCAGTGGATGCTGCTGACCCTGCTGCCCTCATAGCAGAGGCTCTGAAAAGGAAATTTGCTTATCGATACCGAAATGATAGCCAAGATGAAGCTGACAAAGGAGTTCCAAAGTCTGAATCAGAGGCCACCTCAGAGACACTGTGGGTAAGGATCAGCCTGGATTTCTTTCCTACAACATAGTATTTCATGCCATTTCTGAATTACATTTTTTAAGTCATTCACCTCTGTCCTCTGTAAGACTCAAAGGGCTAAGATAGGAGAGTTAGTCCCTACCTACAAGTAGATTGCAGCTAGGTGGGAAAAGGGTGACACCTGTGTTTAGCATTTATACTTTTATTTTTCCAACCATAAAAGTAATAGTTGTTCATTTAGAAATTTGAAACTTCCAGAAACTTTGTGCTCTACAGAAGAGCATAAAGAAGAAAGCAAAGTTTACCCTTGAGCTCACTTCCAGTGTTAAATTTCCCATGCAGGGTTGTATTTTATCTTAGCACAGTGAAGGAAGATTAAGTATCTTTGGGCAGTACTGTATATTTTGTGATACAAAAATTTAAAGTAAACAATCATTTCCTCACAGGGCACCCTGTGAGTCTTCTGAAGAGGATGGTATTTGATGTGGGTTTTGGAGGATGTGTACCATGTCATAGGTAGAGATCGAGTAGATTTCTAGAAGCTCTCAAATGCTAACTTGTACATTCCCTGTTTTGGCATTATTCCCATGGGGCATATGTACTTATAGTTTCCAGAGAGGCAGACACCTTAGAAATTCTAGCACCTTTGAAACTGTTTAAACTTTGGGAACTTTATTTCTCCCTTTAATTAGAGAAGTAAAATTGGACAAAACTAGGGTATTGCCAAGATGATTGTAGTTTTCTTTCTTTCTTTTTTTTTTTTTTTTGAGACAGAGTCTCAAGCTGTCACCCTGGGTAGAGTGCTGTTGCATCACAGCCCACAGCAACCTCCAACTCCTGGGGCAAGTGATTCTCTTGCCTTAGCCTCCCAAGTAACTGGACTCCAGGTGTCCACCACAGAGCCTGGCAATTTTTTGATTGTAGTTGTCGTTGTTTGGCAGGCCTGGGCTGGATTCAAACCTGCCAGCTCTGGTGTATGTGGCTGACACCTTAGCTGCTTGAGCCTCAGGCACCAAACCTTTAGTTTTCTTTTTAAGGAAGCAATTTGGCTACCTCTTTGCCTTTCACTGTGTTGACATGTTTTGTGTTTGTAATAACCTGTGAATCCATAAGTTTTTTTTAAATGAAGAAATTTTTAATTATTTAATGCTAATACAATATCTTTTAAATTAGAAATGAGACAAATTCTTTTTTTTTTTTTTGAGACAGAATCACTCTGTTGCCCTAGGTAGAGTGCTATGGTGTCATAGCTCACAGCAACCTCAAACTCTTGGGCTCAAGTGATCCTCCTGCCTCAATATCCTGAGTAGCTAGGAACACAGGCACCTGTCATAACACCTGGCTAGTTTGTTTTGGGCGGGGGGGATTTCCTTCTATTATTTTTTTCTTAGTAGAGACAGGGTCTTGCTCTTGCTCAGGCTGGCCTCAGCCTCCCAGAGTGCTGGGATTACAGGTATGAGCCATTGTGCCTGGCTGAGACAAATTCTTTTGTACCTTTCGAAGTTTCCTTTTAAGCTGCATGTCTATATTATCTATTATTATAATAATTTTAATATGTATATATAGGGACAAACTATAAACCGCACCAACTGGATCCTAGACCCTCTTTCTCCAAGGACAGCCCATTCTTGGTGCTTCCATAAAAGACGTAATATTAACCAGTAGCTGCTTGGTTTTTCATGCAGGACAAACAGCCCTCTGAGCTGAGTGATTGAGAGGGACATACCATTACTGCTGTATGAACCAGTATCTTCATTTATCCCTTTTTTTTTTTCTAGTTTGGACCACACATGTTGAAGTCTACAGGAAAAATGAAGGCTTTAATTGAAAATGTATCAAACTCCTAATAGACAGCGAGCTGAGAAAGACTATCCTGGTTCTGCTGTTGGTTTGTGAAAGCTGTTTGGCTAGTAGAAATCAACACTATTTAGTAAATACTTGACTTTAGTATGCAGTGGTCTCCTTTATAGCCTAATTAGAAGATTAAGTAAAAATGAAAGCACTATAAGTTTGGTTTTGCTTATGTGAGATGGTCAGTTCTGGAGCTTTCCAAGACCTAGGTGTTCTGACATGTTTTTAACACATAGCCAAGGTGTTCAGGTTTCCAGTCTTGAAAACACTTGTATAGATTTTGGAATATAGAATGGACATTTGTGGATGTTACTGCACATTTTGGATTCTTAACACTAATTTATCTGTACAAATGTTTTATATGCATTTATTTGGATATAAAACAGTTTATGTAAAAGTTAGCAATGAATGATGGCAGTGAGGGTGCTGTTATCGTCATTAGTTCTCAGTGATCATTTGGTGTTCGACGACGGAACAGCTGGTATAACATAAGTTGTTGGAGTCAAATATTGGAGATTGGAATCTTCATGCCTTGAGCAGAACTTGTATCTTAGATTCCTTCCCACATTTCCTTGGAGCTGGGGTTTGAGCAGGAACCAGATGATGTTCACTGCTAAGATTCTGCAATGCTTTCCATTCCAGGGAAGTTGAGGGCCAAGAAAGCGGCTTTTGCCTCATTGCCATCCATTGCCGAGGAAGAAAGTATTTTTCAAGTAGTGATGAATTACTGAATCAAATCCATTTTTAAGTAAAACCCAGAATGTACCATCTTCTTTCCTTTCGGAATTTCAGCATAATAGAGTTTAAGACTTTTTATTATTGGGCAAAATATTAACTTTATAATGAGACATTGAATAGGTGAACGAATTTCCTGTAAGTTGTTTATCATTGGTGAGAATGCTGTTCCATTGAATTACATTATGCAGTATAAACACTAGGTTTATTAAAAAGAGGAGAACTGCCTTTCTCATCTGGGTCTGCTAAGAACTTACTGTAAGTGACCATTTTTTAAATGTGTGACAAATCTTTATGATTTTTCTATTTATAATAAACTCAGTATAGTTAAAGCCAGAGTATCCTACCATAAGTAAATATCTGGATTTTTAATGTAAATCTAGTGAGAAAAATAGGTAATACTTTCTGGAAGGATTATGAGATGGGAAAAGTAGATACTTGTTTTTAAGTTATTGAAAACATATGCATTGTTCTCCTACATATTAACAAGAATTACTTGAGATAATTACATGGTTTGGTTATTCAACTTAAATTTGGACTGTGGCTTATTTTTTATGTGTTGGTGTTCATTGTTTCTATTTGTTTTATATGATTCAAAATTCTGTCTTTCAAGAAATTCAGAAAATTTGCCTGACACATATTTTGGCCTTCTAAGAAATTTATATTTGTATCAGTATTGAATTTTGGCCAGTTCTCCAATATAAAGAAGTTACTATTTTAAAATAAACCAACTATTTTATTTTCCTTGGACCATAGTGCCTATAAATATAAACATACATATATATTGTTTTCTCTGTAATAGGTAAAATTATTTTATATTGCACATGTAGCTTTTCAGACTAATTTCCTTTCTGTGTTTTTTAAAGAAGAAATACTAAAATATTCTCACAAGGACCTTAGCATTAAAATAGGAAGGCAGGTGCAAAGTATCTGAATTGTCTCAGGCTTCTCATACCCATAATCTACTTCTGAGATTAGCGAAATTTGTTTTCCCATCTTTTCTCATACCCATCTCGTGTTGTTTCTGGTTCTCTCACCCAACACAATAGCTAAAGTAAAATATCTTAAAAATAGTTAGACTCTACCTTTTATAGCCAAGGCTCAGAACGGTAAGTAATTTCCTATGTTTTGTCCACTATGAATTCTGACTAACCCAGAAACCCTCATTTTATGTATATGTGTGTATATATATTAGGGAGAAAGAGAGAGAGAGAGAATATCTGAGTCAGAGGGCACTGGACCTGGAGCTTTATGTTATGCTTTTAAATAAATTAGCATTTTTACTGTTGCATTGTTTTATGCTAGGTCTCTTTAGTTTCTAGTAGAATTTCTCCTAGAACACGTGGTCTCTGGCACCTGTAGCAGTCACTGTACAGGTGCCCACTTTCCTGTATCCCTTCTAAGTAGGCTAGCTCTTGGGATTGGGAGGGTAGGATGCAATATGTAGTTCTGGTTGTGTCCCCTGTCATAGGCCCCTCTAGATTCCTATCTTCCTGCTGTTTTAAGAATTCCTATGAATCTGTGTCTTGTGATGAAGAGGAAGACATGAGGTAATAAATAGCAGAAACAAATACTTGGGGGAAAAACTATCATCCTGGTAAGTTCTACAAAAATAGAAGTTCCCTTGTAGCTCAAAGCACTGGCCCCATATGCCAGAGATGGCGGGTTCAAACCCAGCCCCAGCCAAAACTGTTAAAAAAAAAAAAAAAAAAAAAAAGAAGTTCCCTCTGTGGGATAAAATCTGGCAGATGTTTAAATTTTCAGTTCATTCAACAAAGTCAGCTCTGGGATTGCCACGCAGAATGAGACACTTGGTTTTGTGACAACGGTCATTATTATGCCCATTATGATGGCATTTCTCATGAGCCTCCATCCATTCTAAGTGCTCTGTTCCTGTTTCGTCTTTCTCCTTCCCACGTTCAGGCGTTTGTCATTCTCTAAGGTACCCTGCCGAACCTGTTTCTAGGATTCTTAGACTTTCCTGTACCCCCTGTAAGTAGGCTAGCTCTTCATTGGTCTTAGTGCTATTCCTTGAGGACAGGATGGTAAACATAGCATAACCAAGTAAGGATCCAGAATTCCCGCACATTTCCTTCTGAAACTGCTATCCTTATCCACTTCAGATGTGCCAGAAGCCTTAATGTGCCTGCATCTGGAACTTCTCAAAGTCATCTTATCCAGTAGATTCTCCAGTCCCTTGTTAAGGTCACAGAGGGTAAAATTTAGACATTTTCAGGCAGATAAATATATTAAGATAAGCCAAATAGTGTCTCATATTCCATAGTAAGCAACTACCGTAGGCCGGCCCTTCATCATTTCTTCCCAGCTGGAAAGCCTTAATTTGGGGAGAAAGACCAGACTGTTCCTAACAGGGTTTTTAACCAAAGGTATACAAAACTTACTTTTTAATGTTGCCTGGTGACCATCCATCTTCACTGGTTAGGTAATGCTTTTTATAAAAGAGTGAAAGGAAGCATATTCTCCAGAGAATTATGTTGTGGAAAGTACATGTTTTCAGGTTGAAAAAGGATGAGGACTAGAGGGTAGTGGGGAAGTCATTCTGAAATACTCGTGTTAGCAACGAGGGTAGAGAAGTGAGAAGTAGGTGTGTACTGATCTCTGGGGCTGGGCTACCCAGATCTCCTTGAATCCTGCCTTCCCTTCCCCAGGAACACCTGGGGATGTATAGACTGCTCTGTGACCAAAGAAAGCCATGGTGAGCTGTTCAAATCAGATTCTCCCCCCAGGAATTTGAACAGGAAACTTCCAAGGAATGAGGCATTTCAAAGGAGCTCAAATAAAGATGACACGAGGTACAACTGTATCCATGAGTTTATATGGACCAGAGATTATGACGAAATAAATTAGGTAGAATACAGCGACTTTTGATTCAGCACTTAATATGTGCCAGTACACAATTTTATGTTAAGAGGTAGACATTTTAGCAGGGGTCCTCAAACTTTTTAAACAGGGGGCCAGTTCACTGTCCCTCAGCCCATTGGAGGGCCGACTGTGGGCTCTGGGACGAATTGGCTGCTAAGCAGGACAGGCAGCAGCGGCAAAAACACCTGGCAGGCCAGATAAATGTCTTAGGCTGCATGTGACCCACAGGCTGTAGTTTGAGGACGCCTGCTTTACAGGTTAGGAAGCCACTCTGAAAGTCAGGTAACTTGTGCAAGTCAGATTTGTCAAGCTGTAAAGACAGTGCCCACCAGGACCAGACCATGCTGGCCCCCTGATCTCAGACTTCCAGCCTCTAGAACTGTAAGAATAAATATATATTGTTTATAAGTCACCCAATTTATGGTTCTTTGTTACAGCAGCTTGGGCAAACTAAGACAAGCACATTCCTTTATAATATTTCCTTCAAAAAGTTTATTTTAGATGACCTTTTATAACTTTTAATTTCAGCTAAGATAAAGGAACTTGGGGAAATTATTAGTCTGATTCTTTATAGGACATGGCTCAACAAAATACTTGAGATCTACATTCAGAAAATCTCATAAATGCATAGCTTAAAATAAGTGTTGTAATAAGAATTTGTTAACAAAGACCGTTAATGAGACCAATGGAAAGATAAGTCTCTGTGCCTCAGTTTTTAATTATAGCCCGCAAGACATTAAAAACAGGGAGGTTTCTCTCTTTCCCCACCATCCTTACCTGACTTGAACGTGGGCTTCAGAAAGAACAACTTGGGAAGTATAAAACCAAAAAAATACAATTGATAAAATTTAATATTTTAGTAAAATCATATTGAACATTTAAAACCATATTCTAGAATCAAATTTGAAGGCTCAATGATTTTTACCATTCGTTGATGTTCACAGTTAAAAAACCAACAATTACTAGAAAATGGTGTTATTTCTGTTCATTCTCCTATAACTGCCACCCAGCATATTGCTCACTTTGTACAACACAGAAACCTGCCATATTATAACATTGCACACATCATCCTGTTACCCAAACATTTTGAGAACAAAGACCATGGTTTGCCATTTTCGTGCCCTTTTTGTTACATACAGTATCGTAGCATGCTCTGCAGACAACAGGAACTCAGATATTGCTTACCACATGACTTTAGCATAAACAGACTAGTTTCAGTATAATTTCTTAGTCATGTATACTGATAGCTAAAAAGGGAACACATCAATTCCAAATTGATCTTTTCAACTAATGTTTATTGATGACCCAATTTATACCAACCCTATGCTGAGCACAGGAACCAGGAAGATGGAGACCTGCTGTGTGCCCTCCATCAGCCCAGCCCCAGTTCGTGTGGTCCCATCTGTAGTCAGTGGATACCTGGGGGCATTCCAAATGGCAGAGTCATCCACAATCCTTAGTAAAGAACACTGCATACCCAGTCTTGCACATATCTGCATTCCCACATGCTTCAGATGTATGCTGATGCTGTGGTGATTAATATGTACGTTTCTTTAAAAGCACTGAGTTCATATTAGCTGTTGGTCATTGTGTATTTCCTCAATGAGGAAATACTAATCAGGAGGGGATTTAAACATTGTTCATCCAAATATACATGCTTAAAAACATTGGAAACCTCTGATACAGATATTTTAAGGTTTTAAGAAAATAGAAAGCTTAATAAAAACCAAGAAAGCACTTTGGAAAAAGACTGTTTTGGAAATCTTCTTGAAATTACTAGCACCTCAACCTGTACCTCAGGCACAGATATATTTCCCAGGTTTGCAAAGGACATGAAATGTAATTTTTATTCTCTTTATACAAAGAGGATCATTATAAATACACACTTATAGTGAGTACAAATGTTTGCCAGGGATTAAATTTTTTTTTCTTGTTTAATAAGTTAGGGCTTGTCAAAATTCTCTCCAAAGACCTTTTTTGTTCCTAGAGCAGAGACCAAAGGGCCGCTACATGCTCAAGTCTCCTGTTTCATCTTGAAAATTCATGTGAATTTTGTATTCTACTCCATAATATTTGTTTTTAAAAACTATGAGCTAAATATTTAGCTTTTCTCAAATTTTTCTAGAGAAATCAGTGTTTAAGGAATCATAGGCCATATAGGAGATTCCCGCACATACCTAACAAAACACAGCTTTTCGATGTTTTTTTTATTATATGTGAAAGCAGGAAATGGGAGCAACACCCAGGTGTTCCCCTGAGAATGTGGAAATAAGAATCCTTTGAGCCTTAAACCATAAGACAAACAATGGTCAGGGCAGAAGTGAGCAATCACACACAGGCAGAGTGGAGCCTGGGTAGGTCCAGCTGAAACCAGGTAGGGACGAAGCTAATGGATGTGCCAACCAGAGGCACAAGGAGGAGCAAGACTGGCAGAGAATCTCTAGCACCTTGTAGGGGAAGAGGGTACCCTGGTCCACAAATGTGAGAATGAGCAGGTATATCCCAATAGGGAGATGGACGCATGAGGCAACTTGGCTTCCCTTGCTCAGAGTCCGTGCTCACCAAGTAACCAGCTGATCATAATTTGGCTTCCCAGGAAGATCTGCCTAAAGGAAGAGAATAATTGATAGTTACATTTCTCATTGCAAATGAAAATACTGACACTGTCTTTAAAATTACATCTATCAGTCACTGTGACCTCAGTTATTGTGAGTTTGCCATCAGGTAGTTCCATTCCCTATGTGCTGACAGACCGGGTCTGGGAGCTTTTACGGATCCTTATTAGAATCTGGATGCACCAGATTTGCCACGGTGGTGCCGCTGCATGTGTGTGGCTGGTTGATATTCCTCAGGTAGGATTCTACTACCCTCAGAACGTTACATCCACACTGTCCAGTATGGTGGCCACTAGCCACACATGGGCACCTGAAATATGGCTAGTCCAAATTGAGATGTGCTGTTAAGTATAAAATACTGGATTTCAAAGTTAGTACAAAAAAAAGAGGGAAGTAAAACATCTCATTGATAATTGTTTTTTATAATGACTATATGCTGAAATGAAAATCTTTCAGTGTATTTTAATAAATGTTATTAAAATTCCATCAGGTTTTTATGTAGCTATTATAAATTGAAAATTGTGCAGCTTGCATTATATTTCTAGTGGATATCACTCTTTCATACAAATAACAATACGTTGGCATGCTGTCCCTTCTACTGGATTGGACCTGGCAAGATAGAAAAGTGTCAAGTGGTCATGTCTTTTAAGAAGGCCAATGACAGAAATAAATACAACTAGTATTTCAGTACTTGCAAGAGTTGCTGACATCAGTTCCCACCTGTGGGAACAAAAGGCTGTGGAGGCAGAAGGCCTGGCTCTCATTAGGACTGAGCACACGTGCCCCGGGCCTCAGCTTGGGCCCAGTGCTCCCTCGCAAGGTGCAGACGACGGAAAATAAGCTCCGACTGAGCAGACATCTGATGAGTGAATGCCTGAGCCAAGAAGCTAACTCTCATCTCCTTGTCATTTAGCACTCTGATTTCCAAAGGATTGAATTATATACGGTAAATGTCAAAGATAAAAATACGAAAAGATAGGTTTTTATTCATCAAAAGTTAACAGCAACAGGCACATATTAAAATGAGTATGGCAAAGCCTTTTACAAAGTGGCTTTACACTCAAGCCTTCTCCCAAGAAAATGGCTGTTGCAACAAACTGTAAACATAATTAATAAACAGTCTTTTACAGTAACAAGGGAAATACAAAGGAACTAAAAGCACCGGTTTCTCTTAAAACTAGATTACAGTTGTGCTTACTATACATAAAACAATTTAAAACAAATTACAAAAGTGGAATGTTTTAAGTTTAAAATTAGTCCTTATATTTTGTCCTAGAAAACATCTGTTCACATCAAAAGGCCCATCAAAGGGTAACGTTTCATCAAAGGGAGGGACAAGAAAACAATGCACTTTTTTCAAATCAAAACAAGAAGTTTGGTCACTTAGCTTTGTGCATAGTTTAAGGCAACTGGAGCAATCTGTTACAGCTTACCTACCTTTCCCTCCCCCATTTTATGTCACATTCTAAAATAATAAATAAAAGCTTACATTTCAAATCATTTCCCACATGGATAAACATAACACATGCACAGTCATACATGCACAAACATGCACTCACACACACATCCATACGTACACACAACATACCTCTCACTCACTGCAGTGAAAGGGACTTTAGTACCCTTGATCTGAAGGACACACTTCCCCATCCCACTTTATTTCAGATTGGCAAATACCCTGAGCTGATTATGGTGTTTTAAACATTCCACCTTTTTTCTTGCATGTGCAGGTCAAGTGTACAGTAGTGAAAACAACATGCAATGTCTTCACTGCAGAATCATAATACAGCTAGGACATTGGTGTCTTCCCCTCCCGCCCCGAATTAAAAACTAACAGTTAAAAAAAAGAATTGCATTGCCAAACAGCACTGGAGTGAAAGCTTGGCGGTATGCTATCATAAATGCTGTTTCCAGTGCACAAATGAAATCTGTAGCAAGTGGGAGACTTTGGTGGCATCCAAAGAAGAAAAAAGGCAAACCAGGGGGGAAAGAGCTGCAGTCTAAGGTTTGATCTTTCAATTTTTTTAGTGGTTCCTTCACAATTATGCTCCAAGGCAATTTAGAACCGATATTTTCAGAGTTGATTTGTAAACATTGAGTCTTGCCAGAGGCAGCAGAGGCTGGGCACTTCACATTTCCATTTCTCAAAGAGAACTTAGTGGAAGGTACAAGATACACATTGTTGCATGAGACTGGTTAAATTCCAAGAGACTGCTGCTGGAAGATTCAGTTCAAGTTTCACGGTTTGAAGAATAGATGCTTTGAAAAACTCGTGGCACACCTCAAAACTTCCTTTGTTACTCCTTCCAGAGTCTCTCCTGCTGGGCTTTGCATATTCAAGGTTTCACACAGAAGCCAAATGCATATTGCTATATGTTCAGGTCTTAGAATTAAAAAGTGGGTTCAAACGATGCAACCCAGGAAATCTTGGAAATACATAATGCTGGCTGGCATCATTCACTTGGAAACCTTGGCAGTCAAGAGTAAGTTCTCTCGCTTCAAAAACCCATTTCACATTTCTAAAAACCTCCAGGAGGCAGTCTGTCCCACTGGGTCTGGGGGTTATGATAACCGATTTTCCTGAGGTAATAACTGTGAGTTCAGTTCAAACGCAGCATCAGCATCCTCGCTGCTGGACTGTTCTCGCTGCAGTCCCTTCCAGCTGGCTTTATTCAGCCCCACATGTCCAAGCATTGTCTGGGATAGCCTTGTATTTGAAAACCTGGCCCATTCTGTAAATAAAGGCTCCACTAGGTAAGTCATAAAGCCTTGAGAAAATAAGAGAAAAAAGTGATTAACACATGTCATAACATTTTATCCTTAAAACATCTATACAGTGCTAACCTTAAATCCTATTCCAATTCTCCCTAATTCTTATTTTTCAAAGTGTGTGCGTATAATTTCTATATCTTCTTAGAAGAATCAATTACTTAAGTAATTCTCAATGGAACTGTAAGTAAAGGCCAAACTGACAAACATCAGATCTTTTCAGGTTGTTCCTCTTAGCAGCACAACTACATTTAAGCGGCAGTATCAACTCTGAGGATGCCAGGGCACGACATCGTTTGAGGGAGACCACGAAGCCGTCTCCTGCAGGCCTGGGTGCTGTGGCCTGACCTGATGTGAAGCTGCGGTGGTTTATTGCTTTAGTCCTTCCGGAGGGAAAACCTCACACCTGATCATGGCTACAATGATCTTTTTTTTTTTTGCAGTTTTTCGCCAGGGCTGGGTTTGAACCTGCCACCTCTGGTATATGGGGCTGGCGCCCTACTCCTTTGAGCCACAAGCACCACCCACTATAATGATCATTTTATTTAACTCAGAATATATAAAGACAAAATTCATGATAAGAATCACTCTAAAAGTAACAGGTGAGGCCAGTTAAAAAAACTGTTAACATGAACACCAAATGTGTACTACGGACTATTTTATAAAAACTTCATATAATTGATCTCCCTTATCTCACAGAAAAGGAAAATGAGTAATTTCAGGATCATTTGCATCTGTAGATTACATAATATTTCTCAGCCCATTATATGCATCTGATTTAATACTAAAATAGTTTCTTGTACAAGGTCAAAAGAAGCCTCCTAGAAAACAGCTTATCAATCAGATCATGTTGTATTTCGGAATAAAT